AACAATTATTTCCGAGGCACAAATGTATATGATCATTATAGTTCTAAAAAAATAAGAGAATAAATGAAAAACAGGTATGAAATACTATATGACAGTGAAACAAGAATACAGTTTAAAAGGGGAGTGATTTGTAAAATATCCATAAAGAAAAAGTAAATCTGTTTCCAGTTCTGTTTCAAATGGGTGTTGAGAGATGTATCCATAGATCTCTTCATGTTGCTCTCAAAGTGCACCAGATTGATGCTTTTAACTTCAATATTTAAAAATAAATCTTCCCGGGGGAGCATCCCCCCGGACCCCCCTATGTGAGGCCCACACACCACCTATAAAAATACCACTTTACCCCTGTTTGCACCTATATGCCTCGAGCTTAATTGTAACTGACACACTGTGTATATGCGTGGGGATTGTTGCAGTAGAAAGTTCCTCTGTAGCGCCCGGTACATTAATGGGAAACCCTAAATGTTTGAGCACCCTCTATGAAACGTCAAGCTACCCCACAGCACCCCCAAAATAAATCTCTGGCGCCGCCACTGAGCCTGACTTGTGTTGGGGGGGCCCGACTTTTTCTTTTTCTCCAAAGGGGGGGCCTGACAGAAACAGTTTGGGAACCACTGCAGTAGATTAACCTGTAATACTTTCATTCTTTCTTTATTTTCTCGAGGTACAGGGATGGGGAAGGTGTTTGACTATGTGTATATGTGTATATGTGTGAGTATGTAGGTGTGTATATGTACATGTGCATATATGTATGTGTATGTACATATGTGTGAGTAGTATGTAGGTGTGTAAATAAATGTATGTGTGTGTGTGTGTGTATGTGTATGTACATAATATATGTGTATATGTATATATGTCAATCAACAGGTAAAGCAGATTAATAATAATAATAATGATAATTACTGCAGATTATAGATTATAAATAAATCATTTAGGGACAAGGGGCTGAGATTAAATAAATTATACTTCTTCTCACTCCTTTTCGAAAACTAGATGTGGGACTGTTTATGTTGCTAATGCTGTTGTTGTAAATGTCATTTTTTTTACTTTGATTTCTCTTACATGACTATGCACTGCAACATTTGTTTTGTTTTGTAATTATTTATTTTACTTGTTCGAAATAAAATGTATCAATCAATCAATTCTTCTTTCCAGGGAGCGATATTCCTCTTCTTTGCAGGCAGGACTGAAGAGATCAAGGGGAACATTGATGAGGTTGGTTCATAACATGTCTCAGTGACACGGCTTAGAAGAAGGACAACCAATATTATATATCCTGTACATGTAATAATCACTATGTCTCACAAAGTATTAATGATCCAGTCAGTCATCTAACGCGTAAAACCACATTGTGATTTCCTAAATACAGCAAGCGTCCTGATGGTAGTAGAACATCAACACGTCCTTATACC